GGAAGGCGGGGGGTGAGAGGTCTGCCAGCCGGACCCCACCCCCGGGACCGGAGCAGGCCTGGCCCCCCGGGGGACCGCCAGGAGACGCCTGCTTTCTGCCCAGCCCCACCCGGCACCACTCAACCCCACCTTGAGCCCCACGCTGAAAAGGGGAGCTGGCACCAGATTGCGGGCACCCCAGCCCCACGCTCCCACGCAGAGCATCTGGGAGCTTCTCCCCACGGCGTTGGGGGGGAAGGGCTCTGAGGCTAGGGACAGACACACACACTGGGACAGAGCAGCTCTGCTATCGGTGGGGTACCCTGCACCCAACCACGGCCCCCCAGACCCGGCTGCCCTACCTACAGCCACGTTACCCCCGCCACCGTGTATCCTGCCCCCCAACCCCCGAGACACGGCTGCCCTCCCTACAGCCACGCTCCCCCCGCCACCGTGTAGCCTGCACCCCAACCCCCGACTGCCCTACCTACAGCCACGTTACCCCCGCCACCGTGTATCCTGCCCCCCAACCCCCGAGACACGGCTGCCCTCCCTACAGCCACGCTCCCCCCGCCACCGTGTAGCCTGCACCCCAACCCCCGACTGCCCTACCTACAGCCACGTTACCCCCGCCACCGTGTATCCTGCCCCCCAACCCCCGAGACACGGCTGCCCTCCCTACAGCCACGCTCCCCCCGCCACCGTGTAGCCTGCACCCCAACCCCCGACTGCCCTACCTACAGCCACGTTACCCCCGCCACCGTGTATCCTGCCCCCCAACCCCCGAGACACGGCTGCCCTCCCTACAGCCACGCTCCCCCCGCCACCGTGTAGCCTGCACCCCAACCCCCGACTGCCCTACCTACAGCCACGTTACCCCCGCCACCGTGTATCCTGCCCCCCAACCCCCGAGACACGGCTGCCCTCCCTACAGCCACGCTCCCCCCGCCACCGTGTAGCCTGCACCCCAACCCCCGACTGCCCTACCTACAGCCACGTTACCCCCGCCACCGTGTATCCTGCCCCCCAACCCCCGAGACACGGCTGCCCTCCCTACAGCCACGCTCCCCCCGCCACCGTGTAGCCTGCACCCCAACCCCCGACTGCCCTACCTACAGCCACGTTACCCCCGCCACCGTGTATCCTGCCCCCCAACCCCCGAGACACGGCTGCCCTCCCTACAGCCACGCTCCCCCCGCCACCGTGTAGCCTGCACCCCAACCCCCGACTGCCCTACCTACAGCCACGTTACCCCCGCCACCGTGTATCCTGCCCCCCAACCCCCGAGACACGGCTGCCCTCCCTACAGCCACGCTCCCCCCGCCACCGTGTAGCCTGCACCCCAACCCCCGACTGCCCTACCTACAGCCACGTTACCCCCGCCACCGTGTATCCTGCCCCCCAACCCCCGAGACACGGCTGCCCTCCCTACAGCCACGCTCCCCCCGCCACCGTGTAGCCTGCACCCCAACCCCCGACTGCCCTACCTACAGCCACGTTACCCCCGCCACCGTGTATCCTGCCCCCCAACCCCCGAGACACGGCTGCCCTCCCTACAGCCACGCTCCCCCCGCCACCGTGTAGCCTGCACCCCAACCCCCGACTGCCCTACCTACAGCCACGTTACCCCCGCCACCGTGTATCCTGCCCCCCAACCCCCGAGACACGGCTGCCCTACCTACAGCCACGCTACCCCCGCCACCGTGTATCCTGCACCCCAACCCCCCACTGCCCTACCTACAGCCACGCTACCCCCGCCACCGTGTATCCTGCACCCCAACCCCCGAGACACGGCTGCCCTACCTACAGCCACGCTACCCCCGCCACCGTGTATCCTGCACCCCAACCCCCCAGCAACTGGGCAGGGGCCTGGTCCCCCACCACGCTGCAGTGCAGCAGGGGAAAGAGACCTGCCGGGCCGCTCTGGTTTAGGGGGATACCGAAGGGGCCATTTCTCACCCCCAGCAGGGAACAGGGACCCTCCACACCCAGCGACCCCAGGGGCAGGGCCCTCCTGCTGTCCTGGCGACCGCAGCGAGTTGGTGCCTTCCTGGGAGCTAGCCCGGCCCCTGGTCCCCCACCACGCTGCAGTGCAGCAGGGGAAAGAGACCTGCCGGGCCGCTCTGGTTTAGGGGGATACCGAAGGGGCCATTTCTCACCCCCAGCAGGGAACAGGGACCCTCCACACCCAGCGACCCCAGGGGCAGGGCCCTCCTGCTGTCCTGGCGACCGCAGCGAGTTGGTGCCTTCCTGGGAGCTAGCCCGGCCCAGAGCCAGTAGCCTTGGGCGGCCGAGGGTGGCTGGTGCCAGGTGGGATCCCGGAAAGGGGGACAACACAGGGATGAGGGAGCCTGGGGCCTGGGTCCCTTAACTGCCTACAGACACGCAGCTCCGCTGCCCACGGCAGGCAGGGCGCCAGCC